ACCTGGAGTACTGCGTCCAGCTCTGGAGCCCTCAGCATAAGAAAGACACGGACCCGTTGGAGTGGGTCCAGAACAGGGCCACGAAAATGATCAGGGGGATGGAACACCTCTCCTGTGAAGAAAGGCTGAGAGAGTTGGGGTTGTTCAGCCTAGAGAAGAGAAGGCTTCGGGGAGACCTTATTGCAGCCTATCAGTACTTAAAGGGGGCTTATAAAAAAGATGGCAGCAAACTTTTTAGCAGGGCCTGTTGCGACAGAACAAGGGGGAATGGCTTTAAACTAAAGGGGGGTAGATTTAGACTAGATGTAAGGAAGAAATTTTTTACGCTGAGGGTGGTGAAACACTGGAAGAGGTTGCCCAGAGAGGTGGTGGATGCCCCATCCCTGGAAACATTCCAGGTCAGGCTGGACGGGGCTCTGAGCAAGCTGATCTAGTTGAAGATGTCCCTACCCACAGCAGGGGGTTGGACTAGATGACCTTTAGAGGTCCCTTCCAACCCAAACCATTCTATGATTCTAAGAAAAGACAAGAGACAGAAGCATACACAAAAACAGAGAACTATACTTAAAGAACCGGTAAGAATGCAAAAAAAGGGACTAGAAGCTGTAACCTAATGAAAAAGTATCCATCAATTTCCTTTTACCTTTCTCATTCCAGAAAGAAAGAAGAAATCAATTATGTGATAAGAGGAAAAACAAAACCACCACAAATCCACTGAGCTCTCTCCCACTAGAGATCAAGACCCAAAATATTAGTCCTTCATTGCATATCAATTTTGATGAGCAGTGTCTGTCAAAAGCTTCATGAACCTGAAGAAACTGTGCCAGGGTCATTCAAAGTGAAATTTTATTGCCTAGATGAGGGAACAAAAGTTATTTGACGTTTTAGGTACCACAGACAGTGCTAAAGTTTCCTAGTCCTATTAAGAAAAATGAACCTGAATGCTTCAGTAATGTAGCTCTTTTACTGTACACCAGCATAATTATCACACAGTCTTTGATCTGACTAAGAGACTTTGGATTTTATCACTTCATTCTGAGTTTCATTTTATGAATGCCACCTCTGTCCCAAATTAAGTAACTTATCCATGCCCCACACTGACATTCGAAGAGGGAAAAGCCCTCTGAACCACAACCCCCTTTCTACGCATCTCAAACAAGGCCCTTTTCATTCTGTGGAAGCCCTTCTTTCTTAAGGTTGCGTTTATTTAGCGCTATTGATTGAGATTTTCTTTGAAACAACCAATGTCCGACAGATTCAAACCATCACACAGGGGCAAGATTACTTTTAATAAGTATTTCAGGTTAAATTAAAAGTTTCTTCTAATCTTTACTGATGGAGGAAAACATCATCAAGAATTATTACTACCTAAGTCCAGTTTTCAAAGTCTTATAAGAGCTTGCGTTAAGTCACACATTTAGTCACTCCTTGCCTTCAAACCCCCTTTACCACTGAAAACGAAAAAATGGTTAAATGAGTGGACAGAAGAGAAACCTGCAATAGCATCAGCTTTCTGCAACAGCAAAAAATGAACTTTCAGAGAGCTGTTATTTCAGAAAAACAGGAGGAAATACTACGTTAAGACAGCATAACCACAAGAGATACAGCTTCTATTGTCTGATTCAAAGGATTTCACAAGAAATCACTTGCATTTGCCAATGAATTTGGACAATTTTGAAGAGGTGAATTTCAGAGTTTCTGTCCATACATAAATCGTATCAGAGCAACGATAGTAATTAAACCTTACCTTCATCTTTGTATTTTATTGTGACTTCATCATTGCTCAGAAGTTTTCCTCTAAAAACTCTTTGCATCATTAGCACCAATTCATCATAGGTGATATCTTCATTATGAATAGGAATTCTCCTAATATCTTCCCCAAGCTGAGCTTTGATGATCAGCTTCCCACTTAAGTCCAGCTGCCCATTCATGGTGGATTCCTTATTGCCTGCAGACCTGTTAATGACAAAACATTAAAAACATTTTAGAAAACTAAACTGTTAGTTATTTAAATGCATCTGATGACAGTTCTGAAGCTTTCCATCTTTGGAAAGCATTACTGTGAGGAAGCTCCCCAGAGAACCTCTTTCGGACACATCCTATGATGCACTAATTTCTCAAACAATAAAGTGCACGATACATTAACTGAGCTCACGGGCAACGAAGAACTCTAAGATCCGACACTTCAAATTATCACAGGTATCACAGTTCCCAGTGCTCAGAATTTAAAAGTAAAGTTTTTTTTTTAAAAGCCAGGCAGCTTTCAAATATGTGTGACATTTAGAAATTTCAAACTCGGGTGGGTTTTTTTGTAAGATATCAGATGTAAACTGTCATGGAAAAAAAGCTATAAAGAAACTAATATTCCCTAGGATTTGCTTTTGAGATACATGTATACATCTCTCTCAGGGAAAGTGAAATTGCAGGAAAAGCTGTCAGCCTTACAACATTTTATTGGTTACATTATCACCTTATTAGATTATTTTTACATCCCTCATAATTATGATAACCAGCAAAGGGCTTTTTTGCCTTTTTTTTTTAAATTTAAGGAAAGACTGCCAGAACAAAATATCTTATCTCAAAGATTATAGGTGGTAAGGTGGCTTTACTAAGGGGATCAGGTTGAATCATGCATTATTTCATGAACAAGTAAATGAAGAGCTAAACATTGTTTTTATTACCTGCATGATCAGAACACATGGAGGGTTCCTCTCCAGAAAGGAAGATACAAAAGTTTTCCTTTTTTTTGAAATTTTGACCGAGATGTTTTAACCAAGATTTTAGATTTTTAAAAGCTGCTCAATAGACCACACATTAGCTACTCGTTAGGCTCAGAGCCACAAATTTGTTATGCAGTGTACATGGCCAGAACAGTTCGTTACTCTTGGTGCTTTAAGAGAGGCGGACAACAGCTCCAACTTAAAAGGAAGTGCAAGAAAGCCATCTTGTGCCCAAGCAGCACACAGCATGTACTTCAGTTATATCTTGATATAACACTTTAGATAAGACAATTTTAAAACTATCACTTTGTATGAGGCATCTCTCTTGTTAAAAAACACAAAGGCCTTACCTTGAAAAGAAAAACAGAAACTACAGAGAAGTTACGAGCAGAGGAATGAAAAAAAAAAAAAAGATCTAGACAGCTAGTCAAATGTCCTTTCTTCACCGTTTTGGACAGGGCCAAAACAATAGATATGGAATGATGAGCAATTAAAGAAGCAGTTATCTTAACATCTGAAGATATGGAGATCTTAAAAGTAGGCAGCCCTACACAAATACTGGAGATCTTAAAAGTAGGTAGCCCTACACATCAAAATTGACATTTCCAAAGCCACATGCAGGCAAGCATGCTGTTTGTTCTCTTGTACAAAAAGAATTCTTGGTAGAGATATGCAGGTATTTCTCCTTTACCTTTACGGATGTTATAACACAGTGCTTTATGAGAAAACTGAATTTTGCTTTGGTCAGTCTATTTTTAAAGTACTGCATTGAAAATTACTTCTCTCCTACCAAAGAAACAAGACACTCAGCTAAAGCCTTTAATACATCATACCTTGATGCACCTATATATATTTAATTCTGCTGTTTCAATGGCAATGTTTTGCATTAAAAAGATGTAGTATGATGCTATCTCTAGATTGCAATTCAATTTCTGGGGGGGTTTTTTGTAATGAACTTAATTATAAACCAAACATTTCATGCAAATCCCTTTGTTTAGCCCAATGACATCCAAAAAAAGAGACAAGCAACTATTGTACAAAACTCATTCTCCTAATCAGACATAACAGGAGGTAGGCAGATACAGTCTAATTGCAGAGAAAAGGGACTTGCAATTAACACAGCCAGGTTGCTGCTGAGACACTATGACAGAACAGTGACGTTTACAGTATCGTTAATGCTCGCTAATGCATTATTCATGTTTTGCAACATAGGAGTCTTGACTGCAGGCACATCAGCTCAGTCTAATTAACACTCTAAGTTGGTTGTAAAAGCATAGGGTTTTGCAGAAGTTGTTTGGGTTGGGTTTTTTTTTTAATTTAAAGCATTAAAAAAAAAACAAAACAGCATCCATCCACAGGTTTTCTTTCACCTCCTTTCCAAAAACGTGCATTTATCATTACCTTGTCTGTCTTACTGATGCTGGATTATTGGACAGATTTCCCACCTCACTTCAGGACAGAGTTAGGATAAGCCGCCATGCACTATCAGTGCCAGAAAACAGGAAGCTGCATCCAAAAAAAAAGAAATATTTATTTACAGTCACACTTCCTTAGAATTATACACTTCACATGAATCTTTCACTTTAGAACATCTTAACGAATATACCCAATTAAAAAAAGTCAGTTTTATCCATAATGTAACAATCAGATTTACGCTGAGTATCGTAGAGTTTGAAGTTCAACTAAAACAGATCTCAAACAAGAGTTTTAATTTCCTAATAGTAGTGGTTTATTTTTACTAAATTTTGTAACTGCACATAGGAATTCCTAGCAGTAATGTGTTCCTTTCCAGGACAGTGATCTTCCCCAACAGTCTCAAAATATTCATTCGTATGGCCTCCATCTTAAAACCCCAGGTTAAATTAAAGAAAATAAACTTTGATTGATTTAGCAGTACAAAACCCTAGAATTCCGTTTCTTAGCTTAAGGCTGAAGCCTCTATGGCATTAAGTAGTGTGACTTCAAGGACAGATTGCACAGCATTAGGAGAGACTACCAAGAGGAAAGGAGTAGTAATGCCACTTTCCCACGGGAAGAACCACCAAACTGGGCAAGAAGGAAATGCAGTCAGAAATATACAACCACTTAAGGATAGGATCTGCCCTGAATTCAGCTTAGGAGTGTGCTTTTTCTGCTGGAAAGCCTATGTGATGAGCCGCGTGAAGTTTATGCAGTCTACCTGTTTATTGCACAAGTGCTCAATGCCCAGAGCTACAAGACAATGATTTAGTATACAGACCAGTCCAACGGAGAATGTAACTGCGCTCCTACCTCCCACCCAGTAAGTGTACCCTACTTGGCACTTCTCCAGCACACATGGCTAATCTCAAACATCCATGATCTGATTTTTAGATGATTCACTGCTAGCCAGAAGAAGAAGGTTCCTCTCATCCACATGAAATTGGGCTTCCCAGCTCTCCTCTTTCAACTCAACTGGAAGTAAACTGGAACGGACAGGCACAAGACATACAGGATGGAAGCAGAGAGCAAGCAAAGCCCAGAGAACAGACAAAGCCCCTCTCTGGTTCTCATAGGCTGGCAGCTGCTCCCCTCATCCTGGGTATGAAACGTTCACCTTTAAAAAGGGCTGTACTCGCTCCTCACAGGGAGAGGGTAAGACTGTTGTGACATACTAAGGCAGGTGAAGAGAAAGAGACTACTTTTCTGATTCCTCACTCACATTTTATTAAATGAGTAATGCATGAAGATGGTGCCCCTTTCACCCCAATCTTGCTACAGCTCCAGGTAAAATTTACTGCAACGGACAAATACAGGATACAGATAATGCATCTAAGAGTGGTTTAACTTACAGAGTTCATTTAGCTACCATCTCATGTTGTTTAAACATTGGAGCTGGGCACTGGTTTTGCTTCTTTAGCATTACAATGTAAGCTACTTAGCAACTGACAACAGTAAGAACTGAACCTCATCTGTAATTCCTAAAGATACACATTTTGGTGGACACACCTGAGCTCCTGTGGCAGATTGAATGCATCATTTGTGTCTTTGTGCAAGGAAACCAGCTACTGTAATGTACTTACAGAATTACATTGTCTTATTTACCAGCATTACTTACAGAAATCCGCTGTGTCTACCAACGACTATGAAAAGGTAACAGGAAAGCGTTTAAATGCACTTTTTTTTGTCCAGCTGTTCTCCATTCTGCTTGAAGGTGTCCAGGTTTTAACAGACAGATTCTAAACACTGCACCTGCTTGCAACTGTTACAGAAAACTATGTGAAATGTTCTAATTATTGAATGACACAGCATTCAAGCTTTTCTTCCCTCACTGTGACATAGCTGAATGGATGACTCCCTTGAGAGTTTTTCAGAGAAGACATCCAAAATGCACACTAATGAGCCTTTTAACAGAACCAATCACAGCGTCTACTTTCCTGAGGGGAAAAAACCCAACCAAACAAAAAAACATTAATGTCTTCCTGTTTAAAAAAGACTATTTTTTATAAGAATCACACTGACATCTTTCTAACCTTCCTGGTGTACCACATGCATTTTGGAGGTACAGATTTTTTCCTCCCCTCTCGGCTCACCTTCTATTCACATCATGCACCAATCTAAATGGCGCATGTGGACACTGACTGTCCAGTCTAAGTCAGTCACTTCAGGATCCCTTCTAAAGCCATGATGTCATAACCATGTTGGATTTCACTACCCTTTTTGCATTGCAGCTGAAAAAAACAGTCTTAGGAAGAACAGGCCTTCCTGCTTCACTTTTTCCTATCAAAACAGGGACAAGGAACAACAGAGTGAAGCATAAAGAAAGAGGGCCAAGCAGCACTGCCTCCCAAACCCCACTCGACAGAGCCATGAGAGTTTTCCCAAGACGGCTGGGGGGTGAGGAGGGGAGCAGAAAGGAGAAGAGTTATTTTCCTTTTCCTCCAGTTCCGATAAGGGCAGGCCCGACCCAATGGGGAGCAGAAATCATAGCCATTCCCCGCCGGGAAATGAGGAGTCTGCAGTTCCTCTGTCTCCCAAGGGGAAAGAAGCTTGGTGAGCAAGAGAACACCCCCCTTGCAGAAGGAGGGAGGGGAGGCCTCTGCTAGCCCTCACCCCCGATTCCCCAGGCCGAAGAGGCCGGGAGGCGGTTTCAGCCTCCCTCAGGCGCGGCCGGGGGGACGCAAGGGGCCCCCCCGCCCCCCCGGCAGGGGCCGC